TGGGTCTTAGGGGAAGTGATGGAGGGAGAAGCAGATCAACCGATGTTTCAAAATGCTGCACATAACCCACAAAAAAGTCTGAAGCCAAGTCTTAGCTGTTTGTCCCTACTGAATCTATGTGTGTGTCTGCTAACTTTCTGTGCTGGTGACAGTAAGCCAAATACAAAGACATTGGCAGTAATAGAAACCTTAAGTTAGCAAAAAAAGACAAAGGAAAGTGAGTCCTTTGAACTCCATGAGATAACACTAGTGATACCTGTCTCAGGGATCTACTTGGTGATGAAATTATAAGGTTGCTGTATACTTTATGAACCGGATCCTACTCTGGGTTAAATGTTTGTTTATGCTTGGAGGGGTGTTCAATACCCATTTTTTCTTTACAAATAAACCAAACGGTTCTCTGGATTGGCGGTAAATAGGTGTGAATTTTGCCTTAAAGCAAACAGTGAAATCAATTATTAGGAAAGTACGTTTGTGTCCACATCAGGTTTGGTCTTGCCCCAAACCTTTTCCTACTTACTCTCTGAACACCAATGGACCACCTTGGCCAGAGGCCCAGCTCCACACCCTGGTGCCTTGGCTGGCCACCAAAGAGCAGCGTGGGCTACCAACCACAGAGGCAGGAGAAAGTGCAAGCCTAGGAATGGAAGCACGTTTATGCTTGTAAGCAGCATTAGCTTGTGATCCCCTTGGGACAACCTTGTCTCATTAAGAGGTGAGCAATATTACAGAATGGTTGGTGCTAAGTGTCATATTTAAAAGGTAATTGTGCAAGGCTTTACATTAAGAGGAGGAAATGGGCGTTTGAGGAGGCAGCAGTTGTGTTTAGGTGTTTGCAGAGGTCCAGTTCACTGAGCGTGGGCTTACAGAAGAAACACTCCTTTAGTCCTATCTTCCATCTGTCCTACCCCATGGTCCTAAAGCCCTAAGCACAACCCATGGACCTGCTACCAGCATCATGCCTCTCCTTTGCCTTCCTTCCCTATGCTTGCCCAGGGTTTCTGCCTAGTGTCCTTCCCCGTGCTCAGCTCCCCTGGGGCAGTTCGACCAGCCCGACTGCTCCCAGCTGCCTTGGCCCACAGGTTTGCTAGTCCTCAGGCTCCTGCTCTGTGGTGCGGTGAGCGCAGCAAGCCCCTGCCAGCACAGCACATGGGGTGCTGCCAGGGTATGATTTGCCCTGGGATGCTGAGCGGCTGCCAGCAAGTGAGCTCGCTGCTTGGCACCTTAGTGGGAAGACGTGCCTTCAGCCTCCGCTCTCCTTGCCCGTGTTGCCCTTTACAGCCTTCCTCATCGGCTTAGAGAACGGAGCAAGTAAGCTCCCAGATCCTCCCTAGCCTTAGGAAATACAAGGCTGCAAATGGCAAACCATAAACCCTTCTGCAGCTGCCTTGGCACTGTCCCTTTCTGGTCTGGTACCAACTTCCCTTCTCCCAGACCTCGGTGAGCGTTACTCAATTTGCTTTATTTGGTGGACTACCACACAGCATCCCTGGGGCTGGCCCGGATCCCTCAGAAAACAACCACCAACAACCGTCAGCTCAGAGAACAGCTCTACTGGCTGAAGTTACGGATGTTGCTGAGAAAAAGTCTACTAAGTCAAACCTTCCCAACCAGATATTGCAGGGAACTGTTGGATTTCATGTTATACTTTCCCATTTTGATACTTGAATATGGAAACTGAATTCCCATGCTTTCTGCTGTTGGAGCTGCTAGCTTTACAGCAGTGGGATCGATTGCACTTTGCCAAGCACACTCCAGCCTTCTTGTTCTCTCTCGCTAGCGAAGCGGACAGGCAGTAGCTGTGACTCATGCTGGCTGATGAAATGCAACTGCTGTGTAAAAACCACAGGCTCATTATCCACCATTATTGGTAACACTTTGTGGTAGAAAAGGAGATGACTTTTGAAAGGACATGAATAGAGTTTAAATTAAATGCTTTCCATTGTTGGTTCTTGTACCCGTGTAAAGGACCCCCCATGCTGTTCTGCTCCACAACACCTTCGGTAGTTTCTTCTCGGCTGGAGAGCAAGAGCCCTGTGGCTCTGATGGGTGCAGTGAGGCCAGTTCCTTCCCCAAGGGTGACTGTGGCTCTTACATCAGCTTTGTCACTCTCTCTCTTGCTTTACATGAGTGGGGATGTAGGAAAAAGGAGAGAGAAGGGAAGGAATACACTTGTGGCCACCCCTGTAGTTTATACAGTGGCATGTATGAAACACAAGACACAGCAGCAGGGAAGATTGCTTTAAAATCATGGAGGAGTCAGAAATCCCCAGCTGATGACTCTATTCTGTGAAATGGGTCTCATGAAAAACCCTGTGAGGGACAGACCACCAGGTCCCGTTTGGGTGGCGGAAAGCATAGGTAGGGGAATGTGCTGTCCCTCCAGAGTTAGGGATTGTCTCCAGAAATTGTCTAGTCCAGCCCCTGCACTTCAACACCTCCAGCTGTAAATGAGCTTTGAGGGGTGACCTAAAACCTCAGCGCACTGACCTGGTTGAACAGAGCTGTAAGATGTGACTTTAGCACCATCTGTGAGCTCCTACGAGGCCTTAACAACCTCAGTAACAAAAATTAATGTTTCTCATATCAAAGAGACTCAACATTGTGGAGGAGGCGGTCACCAGATACAAACAGAAGCTGATGGTATGGAAACTTACTGGTGAGGATAGTCAGTCCCTCAAGTAATTAATCTCAAGAATTTAATTGTTTCAACCTTTATTTCAAGACAAGTGCATGTACATGTATATACGTAGGTCAGTGTAGTTCAGCCTGAAAGTGCAGAGGAATCAGTGTGTGAAATGCCCTCTCCTGCTGTAAACAAGAAGAAAGGGTGCGCCCTTCTGAGGTACAAATCCATTTATGTTGTTTAGGCTTAATCTTTCTCGCTGGCCTGTGCACCCCTGTCCACACCACTGACACAGCCTGCCCTGTCAGTTAGCCCACTTTGGGAAGCACCAGCCCTGCATGCCCTTGGGGAGAGCTGAAACCGAAGCCAAACTGTAAAAAAAAAGTATTTAAAACTTGATATAATTTTCATACCAGTGAAAATGTCTGCTCAAACACAGTGAATGTATAATACACTGGCCCTCCCACTCCCAAGGGACACTGCAAGCCCAAAGGTTACAAAGGAAAGTTTTATTAGCTTTTGGGAAGGGGAACACATTCTCACTTCAGCCGGGGAGCGTGTGACAATCCGCAGCTTGCGGGCAGGGTGCAGCTGCCTTCAGTCCTGGTGGTGGGCAGAGTGGCCAGAGGTAAAAGCCCAAAATGCCCCTTGTAGCTGGGGAGGAGCATCCTGCGCGTGCAGGTCAGCGCACAGCTTCTCACTCCTGAGATGAGAAAAAGTTGCTTCTCGGCACTGCATGAGTAACTGCTTTGGCCACGGAGGTTTCCCCTGGGGTTGCAGCCCGGCCCCAGGTAGCAAAGTTCATGCTCACCAGGGCCTGGAAGATTTCCTTAGCTGCCTTTGGCACCTGAGCCCGCAGGAGGGCTCAGCCAGGAGCAGGTTGGCCGGGGAGCCGAGGCGGGTGGCAACACGATGCCTGCGTAGCAGGAACGCTCCGGGGCATTAGAAGCATCTGCAAAGAGGAGCTTAGTGCTGACAACCTGAAATCTGAACCCTTCCCAGTGTTTCTAAGGAATCTGAAGTAACAATCTTATGCCTATAGTATAAATACATAAATACTTTTAACAAAAGACTTTGGAGTGTACACCCAGCAGTGAGGTGCTGAAATGTTGCTGGAGTTCATTGGGAGCCAGGTAGTCAACTTGCCCTTGAAATCTGCCCCAGTAGTAAACTTCAACCAAAAAGAGAACAGTTGCTGGTTGTGCTCAGGTCATGTGCTGCCTGCAGCAGGGCAGGACTTGTCCTCAGCAGCCCCAAGCTGTAACGAGAAGAGGGGTGCGCAGCCCAGGATCGCCG